AACAACCAATTTTCTACTTTTAAGAGATTTTTTAGTGCTGGTGGCTAACTGCTGGTGGAATAACTTTCTTATTGTTCCAAAAGGCTTGAGACATTACTGTATTTCGTTTTATAATGTAGAAGTACACCAATTGCAGGAAACGATGTCTGGCATTTCAATGTCTCTAGGAAAGACCTTCTGTTTTCATTAGGCCTAATGTAATGGACAACTCTTTGTTTTTTTTTTTAAAGGAAAATCCAAAAATGTTAATTTTTATACCCATTGATTATGTAAACTGAACAGGTGACTCAAGCAGTTTAAAAATAATGATTGTTCTGTGGCACTTTTGATTGTTTCAAGCAGTTTTGCTTATCAAAAAACTTCAAGTAATTAATATATAACAAATTATACAGTCACTAAAAATCATGAAATAATTTATTTTTGTAAAAAAAATACGACCGACTTCAAAATGCTCTAAAAAGAATGAAATAATTTCAATAAAGTAAACTTTTGTATTAGGCAAGCTCACGTATTTTAAGTCGGCGCGGCTCTATGATGATTTTTGATACAAAATTGAAAGAGTGTGTCCATATTGCAGGCAGGTGACTATCTATAACTAAAGGTGTTAATCTGCATGTCTTTTTCATAGTTATGCGTTAAGTGTTATTTTATTACCGTCATCAGAGATCGGCATTATAGTGGTATTAACGAGTATCTTTAAAAAGATTATAACGCATTTAAATGTTTCTAACTTGGAAAAGTTACGTTTTAATACTAAACTAGCTTCTTTTCCCTATCATAATATCAAACTAAATTATTTTTCTATTCATATAGAACATTTCATTTGTGTGTGTTATTTTCATAATGCATTTATTCTGAAGTAAACATAAAATACAAGAAAATATTTCCTTTAATATATAAACAAAACAGTTCAGTATGTTTTTTATATATTTATGTTATCCAGCTACAATTTATTGATTTTCAAAATACACACACAATATTTAATTTCAATCATATTTGCAGTTTGAGCCGCGCCGACTTGAAATACGTGAGCTTGCCTAATACAAAAGTTTACTTTATTGAAATTATTTCATTCTTTTTAGAACATTTTGAAGCCGGTCGTATTTTTTTACAAAAATAAATTATGGTATGATATAATTTGCTTAACATAACAGCTGTAAACATTCAGCGTTTGTAACACAAATTCAGCATTTGGATAAAAATGAAAAGACACATTAAGGTTTGACATTTATACTATGTATGTGTAATGCGGTAATGCTGATCATTGATACGTTCAATTCTTCGGTAAGAGGATGACAGATTAATCTATATATAAAGCCAAGCGTACCCATGAACTTTTGAGAAAACTACAAGTCACACCCCCATAAACCATATACTTAAAATGTTCGTCATGACGAGAAACCTTGCGCAAAACTATCCATTATTTCATAAAAGGTCGAAATTCCTTTCTAAAGGGAACTTTCCATATACCTAATGTTAAAATGCCTCAGCTGTACTTATTTATTTGTATATGTATTACTGTATTCTGTTTTGTTTATTTCAGCTTAACCTAACCAATCAATAGTTTTATAGACTTATGAAGTCAAACGGGGTGAAACCCGTGGGTAATAACTAGTTAAATGTAAATAGTAAAATACTTGGATGTTCAAATTATTTTTCCTACAGTCACCCGACAAAGTTGGCTTCCCTGTACTGTTTATAGTACAGAAAGCTGCTAATTGCTGCATATTTATACTTTGCCGTACGGTTTATACTTTGCCGCACATCAGGATTCCAACGAAACAACACAAAACAGCGTGGTTCCATTATGCACGTAATCCGTGTACGCTTGGAAATAGGTTGGCAACACTTAAATATAATTATACTATGAGCAGCTGATTGACTATTATAACTACGATTTAACCTGTCATTTCGTGTTTATAGTTTCGGTATTTCTGAACTTTCTGGACTTTTCTTTTAGTTTTTAAAACCTTCCTACGATCTTAATAAACAAGAAAATACCTTTTAATCATTTTTTTTAGGCGCGGAAACCACTTCAAATTACAAAAACATACGGAACTATATTCTCAAAACGCGGAGCACATTTCTTGCCGAGGAAAAATAGCGGAGTGATATGGACCGCGGGTACTACTTTCTCTAGGGCACCATTTGTGTTGCCAGCTGAACCTAAAAACGTGTTGCATAGTGTTTGAAAGACTAATTATTGATATGCTTTATAGTGACTGTAGGAAAAATGTAATGTGTAACACGAGTGAAAAAGGCCTTTGCTGCACTCGAGATCATTCCACACTCGCCTGCGGCTCGTGCGTAAACATTGCTCTCGTGTGCAGCAAAGTGCCACTTTCACCACTAGTTACACAAATAACTATTTCCTACAGTCACCCGACAAAGTTGGCTTCCTTGTACTGTTTATAGTACAGAAAGCTTCTAATTGCTGCATATTTATATTTTGCCGTACGGTTTATACTTTGCCGTACGGTTTATACTTTGCCGCACATCAGGATTCCAACGAAACAACACAAAACAGCGTGGTTCTATTATGCACGTAATCCGTGTACGCTTGGAAATAGGTTGGCAGCACTTAAAGATAATAATACTATGAACAGCTGATTGACTATTATAACTACGATTTAAAACCTGTCATTTTGTGTTTATAGTTTCGATATTTTCTGAACTTTCTGGACTTTTCTTTTAAACGTTTTTAAAACATTCCTACGATCTTAATAAACAAGAAAATACCTTTAAAGAATTTTTTTAGGCGCGGAAAGCACTTCAAATTACAAAAACATACGGAACTATATTCTCAAAACGCGGACCACATTTCTTGCCGAGGAAAAATAGCGGAGTGATACGGACCGCGGGTACTACTTTCTCTAGGGCACCATTTGTGTTGCCAGCTGAACCTAAAAACGTGTTGTATAGTGTTTGAAAGACTAATTATTTATATGCTTTATAGTGACTGTAGGAAAAATATAATGTGTAACACGAGTGAAAAAGGCCTTTGCTGCACTCGAGATCATTCCGCACTCGCCTGCGGCTCATGCGTAAACATTGCTCTCGTGTGCAGCAAAGTGCCACTTTCACCACTAGTTACACAAATAACTATTGTAAAGCAATCTTTGATTTGTTTTAGTGCAATATAATTTGTTTTAACTAACAGCTGGTTGAATATAAAAATATTCTATATAACTATAAGTTATTTTTATTCACTATTTGGTCATTGATTATAGGAAATAAGTAAGATTAGTAGATATAATTAGACCACAGAGATAAGTAAAACCATTGCTGTATACAAATCGAGGCTCTGTAGTAGTCTACACGAGTCTTAAAAGAAAAGGATATGTGAATCATTTTACTGCTCAACTTTTTTAGGAAAGAGTTAGAAAATAACAATATTTACATGTATTAATTCGTCTTGGTAGCTTTTTGTTTACAATTAATGTTAATCTGCTTACAATTTGTTTGGATTAGGCTCAGAAATATTGATGTAATAGAAAAGGAGATCAAGAATAATCGGGAATCACGATTTTAAATTGTGCCACATCCTCAGCCGGGTTTTATACAAAGATAAACTGATGGGTGACATAGACTGAACACAGCGGCATCATTGACCTAGGATACTGCAATTAATTAGACAAACCATCCTTTTATGAATAAAAAAAAGATTGTTTGGAGTGTGTTTAGTTGTGGTTGCGTGTGGGGGCGCTGATGTAGGCAAAATATCTCTTTTATTTCAACTATAAGTATCTTATACTTTTAATAAATTAATATGGGAATTAACGATGTAGGTTAATTCAATAGGTGGGTAATTATTAGAACTGATAACGGTATAGATTATTAACATATAGCTAAATAGCTTTACTAGCGTGTTTACTTTTTAAATTCCTTCAACATGTGACCAGTTCTTTTTTTCAAATGAATGTTATTTTAACCAAACAGCTTATTCAAAACAAACTATTTGTTAATGTGTTTACTTTTCTTTATTTACTCTTATTTATTTAGCAATCGATTCAGTGAAATTGATACGTTTAATGATGTTAGGACACCAAAATTATATTACGTGTAGGCCTACTGTGAATTTTATTGGATAATATCGTGTTATTTTAGGTAGTTTTAATTCATACCTACTGGAAATTGTGTATAGTATGAGTAATTGTATTGTGGTGATAATAATTACGGAAGAGGCAGGTATGCGAAAGAATGTGGTATTGTTGACTAGGTCTATTCACTTCTCAATTGACTATTACCATTGACTATTGTATACTGAATCATTATATTAATAGTCAAAGCTATTACGAGTATGTTTTATCTATGCTATTACTCTCTACTGTATGCTACTTATAATCAGTGTGCGAATCGGCCGCAAATCTCACTTCAACGCTTTTCACATCGTCACAATTGCTGTTTTAGTGTAAAATTATCGTATTTAAAATGCATATTATCGTATATGCCTGATGGAATAAAACATATTTTTCCACTCAACATTTATTTACAAGAGGATTTTTCCCATTAAAACTGCAAGAAAATATTTTGTGTTAATACGGTGTTCTGAATTGTACACAGTTTTAACTGACTAGGTACTCAATTCCCGTACGTAGGTAGGATGGGCTAGCATCTCGTTCTTTTAAAAACTCAACTTAGTGTTAGTGTAATGTGATTTCAATAAGAATAAGTATTGTGAATTCAAATTCATAAGCAAAATATTACGAAATAAATTTTTTTAAAGTCATCACTAAGAATGTTGATGGGCCCAAGTTGGTGGGACCCAAATATTTTTTTTAGAAAAAGTATTTGCATTAACTTTTTCATGTATGTCTTTTTTTAGTTTAGTGTGCCAACGGTTTTAATTTCAATTTTTCACTTTTAAAGGAAGAATTCAAAACTCTTAAATATAAATTTTTACCTACTAATTTCATAGCAAGACAAAAGAGATTCATTTCATTGCAATAGAGTTTATTTTTTCAAATGTAACTCTTCAACATAAAAAATTTAGAGGTTTGTCAATTATTGATCTTGTTTGCTTTATAGGTTAGTTACTTGTTGCTGCCCTGTTCTTTGCTTTTAACTTCTTTGCTCATCCTTCTGACTTTAGCACGATACTTTCGCCTGAGATTTAGTCTTATTTCTTTGTGTGTTACGCCCGAAGATTTTGTTGCTGCCCCTTTCTTGTCTTTTGACTCCTTCGCTCATCCTTCTTGGGATTTTGAGCATGATTCTTTGCCAGAGATTTTGTCTTATTTATACTTTCTTCCTGTGTTTGGACCTGAGTTTTTTTAAGTTTCTTGTTGTTGCCCCTTTCTTTTCTTTTTTCTTCTTTGTGCATGTTGTGCGCCTTTTGTACATGATCCCCTAGCCTAGGATGCGATTTATTTGTTCTTAGTGTGTTTCGGCCCGGGGTTTTCTGTCCCTTTCCTTTGTTCTTTGCTCGTGTTCTGCGCCTTTTGGGCATGGCCCCTTTATATTTTCTTCTTTGCGCATGTTTTGCGCCTTTTGGGCATGGCCCCTTTCTTTTCTTCTTTACGCCTTTTGGGCATGGCCCCCTTTCTTTTCTTCTTTGCGCGTTTTGCGCCTTTTGGGCATGGCCCCTTCCTTTTCTTCTTTGCTTGTGTTCTGCGCCTTTTGGGCATGGCCCTTCCTTTTCTTCTTTGCCACTTTTTCCTTAGCCTGTTTGTTCACTCCTCCTTACTGTCCGGCTGCACTGTTACCCTAGATGGTCGTGGGTGTTTGGGTCTCTGTAGCTTGTGTGTCTTAATGGTCCCCGCTGGGGCCCTGCACCTGCACCTGTGGCCAAACGTTTTGTAAACATATTTGCACATACATTAGTAAAATGTATTTCTGGCTTGAACTCATAGTGAATACTTCTCAGTTCCAACTAAATAATAACCAGCTAGACTCGTTCATGGAAGGGATCTTTGTTTGAGATTATCCTCTAATATGAGACGTACAATCTAAGGATTAAATGTCAAGTAAATATATCAATTTACATGAAATTTAATCTTTAGATTGTAAGAAAATAATCATTGGAAAACTAAAAAATATAAGTCTAGAAGTTTGTATTTTGATTATGAGTAACCACTTTTATTTTCACTCATAATGCTATGATACATATAATATGCCAAATTCCCGTATTTAAATCTGAAATATTTCTGTTGGCAGACCCCATGCCATTGCTTTTAAATACATAGCATTAATAATATACAATCTATTACTGTTTCATCGAACAGTGTTTTTGGTTTTTATGATACTCTTTACATGATACTTCCATTCTTAAACTCAATCTTTTGCGAAAGCTTTCCTAAGAAATTAAACTACACTTTTAACGCTTGTAATCTCAATCAATATGAATACTCACGTCCAGCTCCTCCTCCGCAGGGTAGAAGATTTGGCTGTCGCTAGACGAGGAGCTGACTGAGGGGCTCGGTGTTGAGGCGGGTGATGGTGGTGGGGTTGGTGGTGGGGTTGGTGCAGGTGCAGGCGGGCGCTCTCTGGTCATCCAGACGTACCCCAGCGAGGCAGTGCAGCCGGCAGCGAGCAAACAGAGGATCGGGTGGTCCCTGAACATGTATTTATTTTAATAAAGACAACCTTTTTTCGATTCAATTACTAGATTTAACTGAGGGTGCATGTAAGTAGTGCATAGTACAGCACAGCCAGTAACATATCGTTGGTAACAAATAAAAAGATCGCCACATAAGATTCTCCAAATACCATGTGTTCTATTTCCAGTAATGAGGCTTTAATTATGAGTATAAAACAGACTATGAGTGCAAAACTGACCCTATAACACATTAAAAAAATATCAAGTGCAAGAAACAACAAGACTTTTAGTTTCTTAATTATATTACATACACTATTATTACACTATTAAAATACACTATCACGCTATTATTAATTATTATACATGGAAACATAATCACTCATCCAATCATTCGTAAATGCCATTAGAATGGGTTTAGTTGAGGAGATTGAAACTGCATTATGTTTAGTTAACAGTTTGTTACGAGTCATTTTTACTCAATACAACTAAAACACACAAACAAAATTATCCTAACATCTTACCAAACACGTTTTTTTTTATTATAAGACAATATGGTACACCAAAATATAAAACTATCTTTTTTCTCTTTGAGGACTCGAGGAGAGGAAATTTCCAAATGAAGAAATCCTGTAATTATCTTTAATGAAACAACATAATTAAAATGTACATTATAATATTGATAAAATCATTACTCACCAAACAAAGTTAAGGACCATCATGAACGTTGAAAATTATAAAATAGTAGGTATATAAGCAGCAGATAAAACTTGTAAAAATAGAGGCTATAAAAATGTGCTAGTAGTTCCAAAAGTTGTAGAAAATACTCTGACATGATGGTTACCATGGATTTGATAAAGTTGTAAGTAATAAACTTTGTTACCTAGCCTATATTGAACTCAATTTGGGAATAGAGAGATATTTTAGCTATCACATACTGTAGGCTGCTACACATTAATTCGTTTTGGATACACAATCTAAGTCCATCTTAACAGATAAATTCAAAGTTGAATCTTAAACATTTGCAGGTGCATATAAAAAGAGATGCACCAATCTTTCATACCCTGGGATATTTGTTTAGAGCTTGTTGTAAGCTGGCCAGTGGCCACCATTGAGTTTCTTCATATGAGAAACAAAAAACAAGTTGGAAAGTTGGTGCTAACAAGACTATTGTCTGACAACACTAAAAATAAACAAACGTTCAGGATAAGCCAGTATTTGTGTGTTCCTGAATTGTGACTAATTTGCCTGTAAGTGGACGTAGACGAATTGTGTCGGCACATTTCCAAAAACAGGCGTGGATTCTTTTTGAAAATTACTGGTGCTTTCTTCTATAAAATGTTGTACACCTTTTGTATTTTATTTATCTTTCAGTAATAAATTGATTTTGATCATACTTTTCGTCTGCAGCGACAGCTGTGATTTTTATTTGTATTTTTGTTTATTTTGAAAGTAATGAAATAGGCTAAATGTAAATCGTAAACTTAAAAGAAAGGTGATACAAAATCTTGAAAAAGAAAGAATTACTAACCAACAGACAATATTAAACTCTAATTATTGTGGACGGACCTAGATAACAGGGAGGTGGGTCTCATACCAGAAACGTTCTGCGGATGGTGTGACTTTCAAAGGTAGTCGGGGGATAGGAAATAGACAAAGTGCCATAAATCATCACATCAAACAGTTACAGCTACTACAACTGCTCCCAGGGCCAGAGAGTGCAAGCCATTATTTACTTCCACCATGCAAGCCACTGATATAAGAACTCTGACAATGGTCAACTACTTGTGTTCTGCTCACTCACAAAATATTTTTACCACGGAACCAACACAACCCTGCACCTTAATCTCAACAATATACAGTATGAACATCCAAAGTGAATCTGTCAACACTAGGTCCACTTCTTCTCAGTGACGACCTAGAGATGACAGACGAAGCCACTCACAACGAGGTGGAGCACCGGAGAAGAGAAAAAATCAATCATTGGATCATTAAACTAATCAATTCATCCCAGAGTGTTCACAAGACTTGGGTAAAGGCAGCTTTGAAACACATAGTAAAGGTAGGTAGATTAAATCTAGTTTCTGAATATTGTTTATATTCCTTTTATCTATGATATTACACAGTAATTCAAAACCAAACGCAAGCAAGGGTCATTGAACAGGAAAGTTAGGCTAGTGTTTATTTAGATTTAGAGCAACACAAAAACTGATCTGGGATTTTTATTTTTTATATACATTTTGAATTGTTAACTAGAAAATGAAAAAAGGTAATGCACAAACTTAAGTCAAATCTCATTTAACTTATTAATTTACTAACTACTAAAGTGAAGCATAGGCCTACCAATCATATATGTCTACAACTTAACAAAGACCTATTCACTACAAGTGTATGCAACCATGCCGTACCTATATTCAACCCAGTTAGCAAACCTTAGCCATACTAAATCTTTTTGACCCTAAAACACTTAGCAAAACATTAAAAACACTCCCATATTCAAGGAAAATACGAATAAATGCAAGTCATGAGCAGTTAACAAACAATTCAGTATTCCTCCATATCAAGCAGTCAAACTTATACCGTCAAAATAAATGTTAAAACTTGTACCTATCTATACTTACCGGACGAAGTCCAAAATCATCGTGAAGGATGAAATCAAGAAAGTGTAGACGTTAGAAAAATGTAAAAGTTTGGAGAAAATGCAATACGAAGTGACTTTAAGGACCACAGAAATAGCACTGAAAATATCGTTGCTATGGATTTGATAAAATGTACTTTTATTGTTAAAATCTTATAGAATGGCATGACAACTGCCTTTTTTCATTATAGTTAATACACTATCTGTGTACCCGTTCTACGCAAGGGGATCTTATAGTATTCAGATGAAACCTTCTTTATAATATACAGTATAAAGAACAGCAGTTGGTTTGCATATTTTCAGATATGCTGGCCAAACTATTACACATAACTTCATTTTATGTTGTTTGTTGTTGTTCCGGATCGGTATGACAATTAATAAAAAAAGTTACCTGTGTCCGCCGATCGATCCTAATGTATCCTATTATAGGAGATGCATTTCGGCGAAATTAAATCACCATCATCAGTCCTAATATAAGGTCTTGAGTCTATTAGGTGCGTCTTGGAGTTTTTGAAACGCATACACGAAGTAGAGTTATTATACATCGATGGTCTCGACTGAAAACGCTCATTTAAAAAAATGCAAGTTTCCCAGCCATATACAACACTGATTCAAGGTCTTTTCCTCGGTTATCAAAACTCAAGAACAATTACACAAAGAATCTCTATTTTCATTTACGGTTACCCTACAAATTATTGCACTTGTGATTAATTAAATCCGTTATGTAAGGAAAAAAGTTTTTAATCTTACTTGGTTTGGATTTGCTTTCAAAACGTGATCGGAATTGGTTACGGCATTTGTAAACAACATTCAATGTAAACATATCAGTGACAGCTAGAAGAAATAATCTTGATTCGAACAGCTGTTCGTTATTTCATAGATGAATATGTGATAAACATTGGGAGAAAACTTTACAAAAATCTCACAAAATTGGGCTTTTAAGAAGTTTGATGAATTTATGCTTAAAAGCGACCATAGTCTGATTATTTGGAAAACCTAATCAGCTACAAGGTATCTATATAGTTGACTAATGCAGTTTAAATTGCAGTGTTTTATATTTCTTGGTAGTAAGTTTTCTGTTTGGTATGGCTGTCCCTCGATAATTCAGCCATTGGCTATATATACCTATATAGTGCCGCGACAGGCCGGGCTTTCATTCCATTACCTTGCTCACTTTACACTTGTCGATCAGCTGTTGCTAAACAGCTGTTCTTGTCGTCTGCACACATCATGCCACCTTCACCTTGTACTTGTTGTGTTTCGTGTAAGTAATTGGTGACAGTTATCGTTGTATTGTAACGGCAGTGAGGACGTCTTTCATGGTTTACAGGTTTGGTTTATGTAAGGCGTGAAACGTAACTCAATAATTTGTGATGTGATCATGAGTTAGTAGGTAATGAAGGAATACTGTACCTGCAATGGCCTGTTGACTACCTGATAATAAGTGGGAGAAGCTTCAACAAAGGGATTTTTATTTTTTAACTAGCTGGCCCGACAGACGTCGTCTTGTCCTAATATGGTTTTATGTCAAATGCTCGTTCATTTTCAAGATGAGCTCGTTCGCATGGCTCAATCACGTCCTGGTTGGAGCTCGTTCGCTATGCTCACTTGCCTTCAGGTTAGCTCGTTCGCTACGCTAACTCGTCTCCAGATTGAAGTTCATTCGCTACGCTCACTCACCTTTTGTTTGGAAATTAGCTGTTGTCATAAATTTAAAATAAACGGTATCAGCATTCTGACATACTTTCTCCCATAAGTCTTCAACAACCTTTATCATGTGTAAGCGGTGAGAGTAAATATACGGAAATGGGATTAGTACAATTTTGATCAGAATTTTTTAGGACTATAACCATCTATAACATACTAAACTTTTATCAAAATCATTCGTGCCATTTTTGTGAAAATCCGATTTTTCTGTTATTTTATGGGGTTTTTATGGGAAAATAACATAATTTACAATAACTTTTGAACCGTAATTTTTACAGAAATGGGATTTGTACCATTATGTTCAGAACATAAAGGACTATAACATAATAAATTTTTATCAAAATCGTCCGGGCCGTTTTTGGGAAAATCCGATTTATCCGTTATTTTATGGGGTTTTATGGAAAAATCCCCATTAAAAATTAAAATTTCTATAAAATTGAAAAACTATCAAAGTTGTAAGGACCATAACATACTATGTTAAATAAAAATCGGTTTTTCTTTCTAAAATCCTATTTTTCGTTATTTTATGGGGTTTTTATGGGAAAATAACATAATTTACCATAACTTTTGAACCGTAATTTTTAGAGAAATGGGATTTGTACCATTTTGTTCAGAATTTAAAGGGCTACAACATACTTATTTTTACCAAAATCGTTCGGGCCATTTTTGAGAAAATTATATTTTTCTGTTTTTTTATGGGGTTTTATGGGAAAATCCCCATTAAAAATCAAAATTTAAAAAAAATGAAAAAAGCTTCTGGAGATACCATGGATTAGAACCTACATATCAAATTTCATCGAAATCGGACCACAGGTGTAGTCTCTAGCTCTGTACACATCCAGACACACACACACACACACATAGACATCACTTCGAAAACCACTTTTTTGGGTCCAGGGGGGCCCAAAACGAATATATCCACTCAAAACTCAAACTCGAAAATTTTGACGGAGACAATACTTTCTCCATATACTATGGTATAGGGGGAGAAAGTAAAAAATAATAGTTCTGCACCCTGTTGGTAAACCTATTAACTTTTTAATGCTATTGAACATCACAGGATCAAATTGTTTAGTTGAACCAACTGTTAAGATTCTTTAATTCCATTTAAATATGAGTAGGCTACCCATAAGGTTAACATGGGACATTCCAGAGCCACTGGGGCGGAGCCCTATTGACGGATCTGCACCAAACTTCACACAAACCATCTATTCTATATATAATTCGGTTTTAAAAATCTTTGTACAACTAAATCTAGAGTTCTACTGAACCGATTTTATTAATTAATGGGTCATTAGAAAGCCTAACCCATGTAGATTTGTAAATTGTGAATGTTTTTTCTTTGTAGTTATTTTGTATATTATATTTCTGTATATATTAGGTTAGTTAAGTTTTAGTTTGACTTGAGTAAGTTTGAAAATCATGTATATGAAACTCGCTTGTAAATAAAGGCCTTTTTATTTATTTATTTATTATTTGCAAATAATTATAAAATTTTGATTTTATTAAATATTTGTGGTGAAAAATTAAAAATAACAAAAATACATTAAAAACTGGGTTTTTCAAGTTTCTGTTTTCAAGATTCCATTTGTAGCCAGCTTTTGGCTGCCTTTATTAAGTATTTTCAAGAATCGCATAGTAGTTATTTGTAGTAAATTTTATTCTCTTTCAGAATATCACATTCACTTTGGTCGATTTCCCCTCCATTTAAAAGATATTGGCAATAATCTAAGTGATCTCCAAATTTATAGTGGTGAGAAAATACTTAATTAGATATATTTTTGTTAAACTTTGTACAACTAAATCTAGAGTTCTATCGGACCGATTTTGTTACTTAATGGGTCGTTGGAAAGCCTAATTTGTGTAGATTTGCAAATAATTATGAAAGTTTGATTTTATTTGCTATTTAAGGTAAAAAAATAAAAAAATATAAAATAATACATTCAAAACTCCTTTTTTCCAGGTTTATATTTTCAATTTTATATTTGTAGGGCCCTTTATTGAGTATATTCGGGAAATTCATAAAAGTAATTTGTAGGAAATTTTATTCCCTTTCAGAATATCACCTTCCACTTTGGTCGATTTCCTCGCCGTTTCAAAGTTATTTGCAAAAACGTTAAGCAACCTCCAGGTTTATAGTAGTAAGAAAATACTGAATTAAAGATGTTGTTGTTAAACTTTGTACTATTAAATCTACAGTTCTACTGAACCGATTTTATTAACTAATAGGTCATTGGGTAGTTCTCTACTTATGCTGGACTATTCAAAGGCATTTGATTCAATGAACCATGAGATGCTATTGGCCAAAATGAAATATTATGGCTTTGACAAAAATATTTTGAAATGGATAAGGTCATACTTAGACTCCAGGCTGCAAGTGACGCAGTTAGAGAGTGAAACGTCAACCCCGCTTGTCAAAACCCAAGGAATTCCCCAAGGCAGCTGTCTTGGGCCTGTTATGTTCAATTTGTACACGGCAGACCTTCCTAGCTGTGTGCAACATTGTACAGTTCATTTGTATGCCGATGACTCACAGCTTCACTTGTCTTATGAGCCATCCCAGATTAGAGCTTCACTCGATCTCATTAACTCTGATCTAAGAAAAATCCTTTTGTGGTCAGAAGCAAATGGGTTGAAACTCAATACTGGCAAGTGTACTGTGATGCATACGGCGCCACAAGACTTGGTGCAGTCCCTCAGCGAGAGAGGAGTGAGTGTTGTGCTCAATGGGGAATCTTTGACTTTGTGTGACAAGTCAAAGACTCTTGGCGTTGTGCTTGATAGCAGCCTCACCTTCTCTGGCCATGTCACACATGCTTCGCAGCGCGCGTTAGGAAGGCTGAGAGGGCTGTACAGGTTTAGAAGTCTGCTGCCAGAATCTGCGAAGCTGCGCCTCATGCAGTCACTAGTCCTGTCGGTGTTTAGATATTGTCTCCCTGCTTATGGAAACAGCATCTCTGGAGTAGACATGACCCGAATGCAGAAACTGCAAAATTCAGCTATTCGCTTCATATTTTGCCTCAAAAAATTTGAACATATCTCTCCCGATAGAGCTGTAGCGGGGATGACAACAGTAGACACTGTTTGCAGGATCATGACGTGCTGCATGGTGCACAAGGCTCTTGTCTTACAGGAGCCACAGTACCTTCTTGAGAAGCTCTCTTTCCGGGAGGAGGTCTCTCAGCGCAGTACCCGCCATGGTGGTCTCCAGCTTCACTTTCCAAGAGTGAGGCTTGAGTTTGGGAGACGAAGTTTCTCGTACTTCGGTCCAAAACTGTACAACGACCTCCCCTCTGGCCTCAAAAAATATTCTTTATCATCATTTAGAGTTAAGATCA